TTCCTGCTCAGAATAAATTAAATCCTAATTTCCATGTTATGTTAGTGACGCTTTGAAATTATCTGTAGATGAAACAAGCTATCTTGACTGAGATCTGTGAGCAGGGATAGGAGGCAGAGAGCTCTCCAAATAATTCAAACAAGGATGATGCAGGTGTCAGGGGACCATTTAGGAAGCTGAAGGGAGGTACTAGGGAAAACAATGCAAGTAGAACGCGAATAATGTTGGAAGAGACTTATCAGCTTGTGACTTGATTATGTGCAGTAGCAATGGAAAAATATGCTAATCAATTGATTATTTCTAAATTATTTGGCCTGACTTACTAAACTGAAATGCAGTTCAACTTTCCACTATGACCTGGAGGTAGCATGCTTCCATTTTTATTATTGAGAAATGCCTATATTGACTTTTTTGTCTCTGTTTTTGCTTAGCCGTGTCTTTTAATTCCATATGTTCAAATGTAGAACAAAGCTTTAAGTAAACCATTTCTTACTGTCTTCTGCTTTAGCTGCTTCCTTATTTGCCTGTGTAGAGGCTTTCTATTAAGATGCTAAAGGAACTCATTTCAGACAGCAGTGTAAGTTGTATTAGTAAGTATTATTTCAAGTCATTGTTTTTGTAATATTTGCAGTCTTGCATAAAAGCATGGTTCACTGTTTTTTGGCAGTTATTCATATGCATACTAGCTTGTACAACAGACTGTAGATTAGAAAACCCAAGCAAAGACTTAGAGGTGATCCAATAAGTGCAAGGCAACAGCTCTGAAACAGGTTCTGTAGCAAATGATTGAGTACAGGTAGGTATGGGGTCTGTGTTTTGTAGCTGGGGGATATGGGGAAGTGGCCTGGCAGTGGAGCAGTCCAAACCAATTGTAGTAGAGGAGGTAACGTAGCTTCAGGTATGGTTGCATTGAGGTCCTGCTTTCAAAAGGACCAGGGAGTAGGAAATAAGGTTGTCTTGCATTGAAAGTTAGACTTCTTAATATAGATCAAGGGTTGCTTTCCTTTTTTTCTGTGATGACCTTACTAAATTCCTCTGTGTGTTGTTTGGCTGAAACCCAGGCTTTCTGGTTTTCCCTGTTCTAGCACTAAAAGCTTTTCAGCATCAGTTGATAAATAGTCCTACTGTGAGAACAAGAGGTTTTGATTAAGCGCTGTCCTTTTGCTCTGACGCTGAACATGTACTCATGTTCTCAGAGGCTTGAATTCCCTCTCACTTATGCTGTGACACAAAGCAAAATTATTTTGTAAATTTTCATGTCTATGTATCTGGAATCTTTGAAGATATTCTAGTTGGTTAAACAGCAGTACAGTAGTGTCCCAATAAGACTGTGGATGACAGGCTTGTCCTTTGCTATAGGTGACAAGTAAAAGGCAACAGTGAGTGTATAGTTCCTGCTGCAATGTTTTCTCTAGCTTATTTTAGGCTTTATGTGGGGGGAAAGGAGGTACTTAATCTTTTCCTTACCCAGATACCAAATGATACCCAGCTGGAGACATGCTTTTAAGTCAGATTGATACCACTTGGTAAGGCTCAGCCAGACTGTGTGAATTGCAAGCTCAGCTACTAGTTTGGGTGTTGGTATTCTCTTAATTGTTGGCCAAGTGCTGGTTAATCGACTAGAAATGAGGTGTTGATTGGTCTGTAATCAGTTGAGGTTCTAGGAAAATCTAGGTAAGAACAGAAGGATCCCTTCTGTGAAAGGCCTGAGTCAACTGATGCTCTGAAACTGTGTAAATGTAGGTTGATGTTAATTGCAAATCGCTTATGGTTCAGTAGTCTTAATAGCACTGTGGAAATACAGGATGTACTAAGGTAGAATAAGGTCTTTAATATTAGCCTTTTCGATTTTGTATTTTAATGGGACTGGAGTTGAGGTTAAAATGGGAAAAGGAGTGCTTTTTCAACTAGTTATCTACTTCTAAGAGTATTATGCATTGCTTTAGAAGACGGACATATTCCAGAGGAGATATGGATACCTGTCTACTGGCCATAGTTGGCAGAAGTTGCTGAAGTAATGCAAGCTTCAGACTCTTGGTCTTAATCGTTTTTAAGCATCTGTTTCCTGTATGGCTGATACCTAGTGGGATTTTGCTGTGGGGAGGTAAAATCTTAGTATGCTTAAATATGTGGAAATACACAAGTTAATACTTACCTTGATATTGGTCTATAAATCTAGACCTAATAAGGCCTACATAATTGTTCTATAAGCAATGTTCTAATATTGTGTTTGAGTTTGCAGCTGGAAGCTTATCTTCAGAATTTAATGAACAATAATAGCATTGTAACTCTGAATATCTTTAATAATCAGCTGTAATAAAGTTCTTAACCTTTTCAAGATGGCTGTGTGCCAAGTTTTAAGGTTAATAGAGTAATTTAAACTATGAAACTCCCTCATTCATGTGGAAGACCATGTGTTGTGTTTCTGCATACAGAATTTGGAAATAAGTCTGTTTAGTTTGGTTTGTGAAGTTCAGCTTGCTTATCTGAGCATATTCTGTGACTAGGGTTTCTAGGAAAATACAGTGAACGTCTCGGAGCTGTAACTGAAGGAGTTTGCCATCTTGGCTCACTTTTGTGTGCCATCCCCTGGCCACCCCAAAGAAAGGACTGAGGGACCAAACCTGCCAGAGGAGTAGAGAATGATTTCCTGAATTAGCTTGTAGCCCAGGAAAAACCATAGGAGGTGTTTTTGTTGAGGACAGCTTGGAGAATCAAGTCCCTGGCTCAAGTACTGTGTTTGGTAGGCACAATAAAAACATTTTCTGGTGTTTTAATGAAGATCTTGAGGAACAACCTTATTCTTTGAATCTACTTGATTCAGACAATTCAGAGAAGAACTGAAAGAAATTAAGCCACCTTTGAAAGAAAGGTGGCTTCTTTATCTGAAGCTAAAAATGAGAAGGAAATAGGGAAAATGGAATGTACAGGTATCAGAATATTACTTTCAATTCTCTCAAGTTGCTACTAAGTTGCCTGAATTCTTCCTGTTTGAAAAGTTTGAGTTTATATTTTGACTCTATTCAGGGCCTAAATTGGCTAACTTTTTAAGTTGCTTATTTTAATCTAGCCCTTAAAACCTGAAAAATCCGAATGTACAAACCCAGCTTAACTGCTGATATTGTTGCTCTACAAAATCTTCATTTTCTCCTGGTAAACTTAGTTTAGTGTTTTATATGCCACTTGGCTTAGTCAAGAAATTCACTACTTTTGTATATCAGGCGGTTCTGTATTACTGTGCAAAAGCTTACAAAAAGCCTGCTATTGCTGATTTTTAAATCAGATACTGCTATTGTTTTTATTACAGTGTCCTTTAAAATTTTTTTACCTGTACTTAGCTATGTTTAGGACTGTTGGCTCAATAGCCTCATCTGTTATGCTTTTTTGTTTCAAATTCTTGAATAGGGTATACACTCCAAAGGAAGATTGTGGGGCAAATAACTCACCTAATGCAGCTAAAGGACTGTGGAAGCTCTTCTAGAACCTTCTCCAGAAGAAGCATCTTTATCTGGCAGTTGTGATGTGATTGTAGTAATCTCATATTTTAATCACTTGTGGATAGATAGTGGTTTAGAGTAATAGTATTAAAGTAACACTTACTTGACCTTCAAGAAAATCTAGGTATTTTTCCTACTACTTGAGTATTTATAAGCTTTTTTCTGGTCCCTTCTCAAGTCTTCACATCACTTCAAAGTTAAATTTCTCGGTGACTTAAACCTTGGAGTCAAAATGCTTTGTAAAGTTGATGATTTCTGTAACTTGAGCCTTGAAAATTGCTTTGAAATACTCAATACTGATGAGTAGCCGAGAGGACTTACAGGCTGAAGCAAGAAAAAAGTAGACCTGGTATTTGGGCTTGGTTACTTGAGTTTTACTTCACTCCCTCCAAGTGATTTGATCATTGAGTGTTTCTGAGTAGGGCTACAGAAGGGAGCTCTCGCTCGGGAAAGGTGAGATGCTCCTTGGAAGCTGTGTGCAGGTTACCTCCTGTTGGAAGGTGAGCATGCAGGCTTGGTGGCCGAGGGAAACAAACCATTATTTCCATTAAACACAAGTACGTGTATGTAGTTAAGGTTTTCTGTATAATATAGCAAGTACAGGTTGTATGTTCTGCTAAATGCTGTGTTCATGTAATAGAATGTCTCATCTGTGTTCTTAATGACACTTTTGACTTACGGTTAGACTTCTGTATTGCACTATAGCATGTAATGTACTTTAACACTTGATTCTGAGCTTAGTGTATCCAGCAGGCAAAGAGGCAGTTCTCATCTTAGATGATCAACTTTTAAAATGCTTGACATAAACCCTGTTTAACGGAGTAAACATTTTGTTAGCGCTTCTCTTGAGTATTTACCAAAAAGTTACTGTTTTGAGTGTGTTTAAGCTCTGAGGTAGTCCAAGATCATTAGTCCTTTATTGAAACTTAGACAAATCTTCACTCTTGTATCAAGCACTTCCAGTTAAATTGTAATAAATCTTTACTTCTAGATTGTGTGGGGAGTATTCTTCATCATTGTGGCACTGCTCTTCACTGTCTCTCTGTTCTTGTCAAAGTAAGTGCACTTCAGCATTTTCCTTAGCCAATTAAACTATGTAGTTTCTGCTCTAACATGAAAATCAGGGGTGGTTTGCTTCAAGAGTCAGCCCACTTTTCTGTGCTGCACTTCTCATTATAATAGTATATGTTGAAACAGAAAAGTGTGCTCAAACAGATTGGGAATAAAAGGACAGGATTTGGCTTGATTGACTGTGTGCTGCTGAAGACAGTTTGGATTCAGCAGAGAAATTAAGCATATATGTTAGTGAAGTTTAAATCAGGCTACAGAAGTATTCTGATTGCTTGAATGAATCTTAATGCATGTAGGTACTTCTTGGGCTGGGTAACAGGTGCTTAAATTCTTTGCAGTAAATGACGTGTATAATCCATTATGATGTGTATTACACAGTAATTGTTTCATGTCATTGAAAGTAATATAGCCAGCTGCAAATCTGGTGGATTTCAATGAAGATTAACACTAACCAGAGGTCTCAAATGTTGGCATTTTTTATTTTTTTCATACTGGGCAAATAAGCTCTATGACCCAAACTAGAGAAAAGCTAAAATGTCAAGGAGATATAGAAATCAATATACCTTTTCATAGGACAAGTGTAATGAGTGTGGTAAAACAAAGCATGTGTCTATATAGATATGAAAAAGCTGTCAGTCTCGGGGCTTAGTTCAGCTTTTTTGAGCTGCCCTTTTAAATTAAACAGAAGGCAAAGCTCTGGGAGAACCATAGTACTTACCCAGTTTTTCTTAATTACTGCAGTTTGGACAAAGCTCTGCATTCGGCTGGCTTCGACTCAGGATTTATAATTTTAGGAACTAATCTGACCAATCCGTTGAATATGCTGTTACCTGTTCTTCAAACAGTAAGTAAAAAAAATTGGTGATATACCTATGTAAGGATACTCCTCGCTGTTTTCTGGTAAGCTGTCAAAAGGCAAATTACACTTCTCAGAGTAATTCATTAAAACAAAATTGTCTAGAGGTATGTTCTGTAAAAGCAAGGCAACTTTTTTGTTAATGATATTTTAGTTTTTAGATACTGATATGAAAATTTTGGGTGGATGGAAGCCAGTTACTGAAGAAAGGTGGTGCATGAAACTAATGTTCATCTGAGAACGTGGTGGTAATGAAGAATGACATCACTTGCAGTTACCATGCACAGAATAAAAGCAACTTTCTCCTGTGCCTTGCCTACATTCTAGTTGTTTGTGTACTTGATAGTTTATCCCCCTTAAGTGAAGTAAATGCACTTTTTCACTTTTTGATGTATTTATTGCACCTTGAAAGATATATTGTGCTCTGTGCAGTTATGTATGTTATGGTAATGCATTAGTCTCTGAAGCAAACCCTACATAGGAACAAACATTTATTAACTTCAGTAGGGTTGGAAGACAATAAGGCCACATACGAAGTTGACAGTCAATCATGGGTAGGCTAAGAAAAAGAAAAGCCTTAATGTAAGCCAGTGCTTTACTCTCCGCTGGTTGAGTTCTTTCCATATTCTTGGTATAATGGGTTGGCACAATGCATTGCTTCCCCATGGTTTCTAACACTATTGAACACCTAAGCTTGTAGTTTACTGAGAAAAGTAGTGTTCAGCAGCAGTATTATCTTAAGCTGTTATTAATGTAAATGTAAAAATCCAATTTTGTATGCAAATATGTTCAGAAATATTCACAAAATGATTGTTGCCACTGTGGACTTTCTTTTTAAATGTACTCTCAGAACGGAATTAAGTTTTTCTTGGCCTAAAAATGTATAGCAGTTCAAAATTAAGGCAAGTTTTAAATTTAAGGAAAATGCTCAGTTGTTTTCCCAAACTAATTGTATAAGCTCTATTAGCAGCAAGCTGGTTTAGCTGTTATTTGGAGCCAACTGCGTAAAACTTTTAAATGGAAGGATTCTTACTACCTCAGATGCTCTAAGTAAAAACTACTTGTTTAGCTTTAACTAGAGGAAGAGCTTGTTTTCTAGTTTGAACATTTTCTTGTCTCTTTAACTGCTTGTGTTCTTCTTGTTTTAGGTTTTTCCACTTGATTATATTCTTATTACAACTATTGTTATGTACTTCATCTTCACTTCAATGGCAGGGATTCGAAATATGGGTATATGGTTCTTCTGGATAAGGGTAAATATGATATAAGAATTTAGTTTTTAATAGTCAGTAAGTGTCATGGTTTAACCCCAGCCATCAACTAAGTCCCCCCCCAGTGGGATGGGGGAGAGAATGGGACGGGTAAAAGTGAGAAAACTCATGGGTTGAGGTAAAGTCAGTTTAATAGGGAAAGCAAAAGCTGTGTGTGCAAGCAGAGCAAACCAAGGAATCCATTCCCCACTTCCCACGGGCAGGCAGGTGTTCAGCCATCTCCAGGAGAGCCGGGCTCCATCACACATAACGGTGACTTGGGAAGACAAACACCATCACTGTGACCCTCCCCTCCTTCCTTCTTCCCCCAGCTCTGTATGCTGAGCATGATGCCATACGGTATGGGATATCCCTTGGGTCATTGGGGTCAGCTGTCCTGGCTGTGTCCCCTCCCAGCTCCTTGTGCCCCCCCAGCCTCCTCGCTGGTGGGGTGGGGTGAGAGGCAGAAAAGGCCTTGGCTCTGGGTAAACCCTGCTTAGCAGGAACTAAAACATCCTGGTGTTATCAACACTGTTTTCAGCACAAACCCAAAACACAACTCCATACCAGCTGTCCCCAGCCAAAATCAGCACAGTAAGATGTTTAACAAATATATGATATTGAATATATTTATTAATAGTCATTATTTATGTACTGCTTCTTAAATACTGGATGTTGCAGTATTTCCTATGTCTAATGAATGTTAGAAGCCTATTGTACAATTTTCACTGCTTTTCAAAGGTGTTCTCTTTTGCTTATCAGATCAAAGCCGATGTTTTAGTTTAAGCTGTGCAATCTTCTGACTCAAAAGTGTTTAATCAGTGGCACTTTGGCTTCTGACTTTAACTTAAAGCCATGTGTTTCTGATATACTGGAAGTATTAGTGAATCTTATGGTCAAAATCTGAAATGTGCATGTAGTCAGTAGTGTTTGATTTGCTTTTTAGGTGGCAAGCAAGTTTATCTAGCTTGATAAAAGACAAAACAGTACAGTGATATGGCATATTTATAAATATGATGCAAATAATATCTTACTGTATTTGAAAAAGCAGCTTTGTATCGAACAGTATGGTATTCATGCCTGTGATGCTTGGTTAAATCTTTCCCTGCTTCTGTGCCTACTTTCCCTTTAATACTGTCACTCTTTCATGTGGTGGCAGCCCAAAATTGTCAGCAGGGACCCTCAGTCCTTGCAATGAGTTGTGAGATTGGCTGTTGGTTTTTGTCTTCCATCATTTACCCCTTGGCTGCCAGCTTCTTTCCCCTAACACAGTATTCAGATTGAGCCCTTGGGGATTACAGAATAGAGCATACACATACAGGGTAACAACAAGGGATTGTATTGTTCCCTGTGGTGTAAAGTGGAAAAGATGCCGCCATATGGTGCACAAGCTTTCTCAGAGCCTGGGAACACTCTCTCGTACCTCCCTCCTCTGGTTTTGGATCTGATTAGAGGTATAATGGTAGATGACAACCTCACCTTGACCAGAGGACACAATATTCTTTGACAAATCAAGGCATAGTTTGTTATCAATGATGGACAACGCTATTTAAATCTTGCTACTAACTACTGGTGTATAAATATTCTGAGTCATTAATATAAACAGCAATTAATTTGGTTAAATAGCTGTGCTTTGAAATTCAGGTTAATACACCTGAAAACCTACTTTGACTCATTGGAATTAAGTTGCCAGAGGATAATTTTAGCAGCCTCTCACTTCTGTCAGTAGAATTAAAGCTGTTACCTGAATTAAAGAGGACTTTAAATGTCTTCAGAAAAAATAGATGGGTTCACTATGTTAATATTTTTTGTTTTCTGTTTTTAGCTTTATAAAATCAGACGAGGAAAAACTCGACCTCAAGCACTCTTGTTTCTCTGTATGATACTTCTGTTGATAGTTCTTCATACAAGTTACATGATCTACAGTCTTGCCCCTCAGTATGTAATGTATGGAAGCCAAAAATACCTGGTACAGGTGAGATGTAATATTTTTTTTTTTAAATCTTAACCTCTGTATCAAAAACGTATTGTTTACAGCAACTTTTAAAACAAACCCCTTCTCACTTCTGAAGACTCTTTTGTAGGCAGGTTTTTTAACTACTAGTAGGTCTCTTGATAATATACAAGCCAGAAACTGGTTGTACTATATATAACACAACTTCATTCCTAGATCATCTTCAGACAATGTAAAACTTTGAGGATTGCTTTGCTTTTGGTAAGGCAACTGCTAGCTTCCAACTAGATTTTTGTACTGGTATGCTAAGGTTGCTGAGTGACTGCAACAAGAGTTAGTTTTAGTGTGTAGGGCTGTCTGTAGACTGAAAGCAATGTTGTTCCGCAGTTGATAGTTTTTATGTGCGTATTTGTGAGAAATGACAAAGCACAGTACTGTACAGTAGAGGGTAACAGTCAGAATGAGGCTGAGTATGTGCTGATTAATCACACTTCAGACACTTTGGACTGTCCATGAAATTCATTGCAGTTCTAGTTCCATAAAATATTCTGCAGAATTAAGTAGTTAACATTACTCTCTGCTTTTGTTATTGCACTTTTGTGTACTTCAAGGTTTTGTTTTTTTTAAGTCTTTCATCTGCTGTACCTGAAGGCTTTAATTCTTGTATTTCATCTTAGTTTGAGTGGAGGCTTGCATATTTATGGGGAAGTTCAAAGTTACACATCATAAGCGTCTTGAGAGATGTTATGGACAGCTGTTTGCTAAGATCTGATATCCATAGGGGCAGGCTTTGTTAGATCTGATCTTGCAAATGTAGACAACTAAGTGGGTCATGAACTTTTTGCTCATATTCACGCACAGCAAAGTCCAGATCTTTTGGTGTGCTGTTTGGGGTTTAAGTTTCACAAAGACAAAACAATTGAACCAGAGTGGTTGGGAGAGGGGATTTAAATAAGACTGAAGTAACTGAGTGCTGCTTTAAACGTTTGGAATACTACTTCTAGTTTTCCAGAAGGCTGTGCCTCTGCGAGGAGAACACACTGCTTTAGGAAAACAATCACCCACCAGCCTTCTTTGGCTGACAACATTTAGTAAAATGTGTAACTTAGCAGTATCAATTCTTTCAGTTTAAACAGAGTAGATGCAAAATACTTTGAGAAAAAGGAGAAATTTAAATTGAAACAGTGTTAAACATGCTAAAGAGGAGGAACCTGGTCAACTTAAATGTGGTGAAGGGATGTGGTGGAATTGTCACTGCAGCAAGTGAAGCACTCAATAAATGCTTCTTCTCTGTTGTCTTTAAATTGTGCCTGGTAATGGGGGGTTGGTCATCCTGATATGAATTCAAGCATAATAATTGAATCACTGTATAGAGGACTTGAATATTTGGTATTTAGGAAGGTTAATGCATTTTTATTAGATTTTTATGCTAGATATAACTAATACAAAATAAACATGCTTAAGCATCTATAAACTGGCTCAACTTGTCAGAATTAGGGTAGTAGCAGCAAGAAACTAAGCTGAAAATCAGTTTAGGAATGCAGTTTGCTTCTATGGTGAGTTTACAAGTCCTGGAATGATTACTTGGTGTATATGTAGCCTATAAGATCATACAGCTATACCTGAATTAGTTATGAGCTGAAGTCCCTGCAAAATGCAGTTTATTGGTTAGTTTTTTAATATTGTAGGCTGATTGTATGTCTTTAATTACAGTGCAGAACAATTGTGGGTGAAAGGGTGGGAATCACAGAATTGTTTAGATTGGAAAAGACCTTTAAGATTGAGTCCAACAGTTAACCTAGCACTGCCAAGCCCACCACTAAACCATGTCCATAAGCACCACGTCTACACAGCTTTTAAATATGTCCAGGGATGGTGACTCCACCCCTTCCCTGGGCAGCCTGTTCCAGTGCCTGACAACCCTTTGGGTGAAGAAATTTTTCCTAATATCCAATTTAAACCTCTTCTGGTGCAACTCGAGGCCATTTCCTCTCATCTTATTGGTTGTTACTTGGGAAAAGAAACGGACCCCCACCTCACTAAAACCTCTTTTCAGGTAGCTAAGAGCTTCCTGCCTCTTAGTTCTCTCTCTCCTCTTTCATACAAGATTTTCCAAAGTTGCTCTTTAGATTAGACAGACTTTTAAAGTCCAGATTAATAGTCCCACAATTATTTTTACCTTCAGCAGTGAACTGATGAAAGAGCTTGCCAGTCTCTTTGGGGAGATGTGTATGAATTTCCAGTCTAATAGTCCTAGGATCACATGCCTATGATGGTCCTGTACAAATTCCTCCCAAGTTCTTTAGCACAGCCCTGGTTAGCAAAAGGACTGTACAAGAGGCAGAGCTCTCTTTATGCTGGTCTCAATTTCTCACCAAGAATCAGTTAATAGCAAAAACATTGTGATATGCTATCTCTTTTCCAGTCTTGTCTTACTCACAAGAGCTTCTGTCACTTTTTTTTAGCCATTCCGTTGAAGGCAATAGTTTGACTGGGGACAGAAACAAGGCTGTGCAGAATGGGTGTGTTAAATGTGAGCACAGCCCATCTATGAGTCCAAGAAGCAGCCACAAAAGATAATGTTGGTAATAGCAAAGTTCAAAACGCATTTACAGGACAATTTTTCATTAAGGAGACTACTAAGCTGGTCTTTAAGCCTTTCAGTGACCTGACAAAAGAACCTTTGTGATAAAGCTTGTAGGTAACATGGAAGATTGAAGAGAAAGGCAAATAATAAAGACTGTAGCTAGCAGTTTGTTTTGCTTCATGAATAAAATAGCAATGTTTCAGTAAAATAAAATGTGTGTATATTGAGAGGGGCAGAGGAGGATTGGGACTTAATAAACACTTGCATATTAGCTGTTTATGGCGAATAGTATCTGAACATAGGTATGCAGTTTGTAATGAAAAGGGTCCAGAGAACACAGCACAGCAGTAGGGAGGCTTTTATGTCATTCAAACAGCTATTGAAATACAATGGTGGTCAGCACTGCAAGAAGGATTAGCTGGAATGGTTGAGCAGAACTACAACTGTTCATTTAAAGGATTAAAAAAGTGTTATGGTCAAGGTAGCCACCCTGGGTCTTCAGCTTCTTATGTCCCATTTCAAAGAGCTGTGTTTAAAGTGCATAAAATAGTGGGTAGAAACTGTTTTTGTTGTTAAAATAACATGAAGCATAGAGTATGCTGGTAAGTTACATCTGGACTTTTCTGGCATACCAAGTTCATACATGGTTTTCAGACAACATCCTCTCAAAGAATCTTTCAGAATGTACCAGACACATTTTACATGTTTTCTGTCTCACTACGCTGATAACTGGATGTTAAATTTTTTTGTATTTTGAAATGAGGAGAGATGGTGGCTGGGAATGAAGAGGAGCAACAGGGTGTTTTTTTTCTGTGGATGTTAGCAGTGGAGAGGTTCTTAAGAGTTATGAATGGGTTATTACAGAACTGAGGAGTGGCCAGGAACATACACAGGAACTGGGCAAGAGAAATACATTTTGTGCATATGGCAAGCTTGCTGTTGATAGCAGCTGTATGCTTGTTTGCTTGGACAGTCCAGACTTTCACTGCTCTCACAACCACAGTGAATTTTGTCATTTAACATAACACCACTGGTAACCAACACTGTATGGAGCCAAGCAATAAATAGTCAGTGTTCCAAGGCAGCTTAGTGGATGAGTGGGCTGATAAACATGTATGTCAGAATCTGATGGCTCACAGAAAGACCGTATGTAAAAGTAGCACTTCGCCCTCTTCTTTGCTCTACAGAAATTCCCAATCTAGTAACCTGTCAAATGAATTTGTAACGAAAAATCTATAGTGATGCATTAGGTTAGACTCCTGTTTGAATCTAGAACGATTTCCTTTGGGGACTGTTACTCTCGACAAGACCTTTCAATTTTGAAGTGCTGTTGACTTTTCCTGATAACTGAATATGTGTGGAACAATGGAGCTCTTGTGAGGCAATTAATGTTAGCTAGACCTGGGCTACGTGCTTTATTTAACTCTTTGACCATTGGGGTGTTCAAAGCATGTGTCCCGAGTTAAGCGGAAGAGTCTTTGGCTATGATATCTGTAGGAAACTTCTTAAAGTTCTGTCTGGATACAGTGCCCTTACCAACTGAGGTCCTGTGTAGGGCTTTGGTCAGCTTGCATAGCTCTTCAAACACTGAGGAACGCTTGCTTTCATCTCCTAAAGACAACTTCTGTAGCATTACTTTACAGCCATGAGTCTTTTCATAGAATTATACAGAGGTCAAGAGTTCTGTCCATGTTCAGGCCTTTTCCTCAACTTTGTAGCAAAAATATAACCTTGCCCATACTTGAAGTATAACTGCTACTTCTGTACAACGAGGCCAAGTTTTTTTTTCCATTTGTCTGAAAGAAAGACCACTGCTTGCTGATGTTTCTACCTAGTGGACCTGTAAGACTTGACTGGCCCAGACAGGAATTAAAAGGCCAGCATTTACCATAGGTGACACTGATACTTTTCCTGGGTTGAGAGCCAGAACAGCAGCAGTGACTTTCCTTCCTTGGCCTTCACATAGGTAAGTCAGAGGAGTGGAACTCAGCTGCAGGACACCGAGTGTCTCCATTGCCATCAGCAGGAATCCAGAAGTATCCCTTAAGTGGCCAAGTCTGCAAATGGGTCTTTTAAAGTTCTTGATCCTGAACATAAGCAGGAACAAATTATCTAAGTGTAACAGGCTGTAACCTGTCTCTTTATATGATAGCTCGCTATTTTCTGAAGTGTCCAAAATGTGTCAGCTCTTGAAGCACACACACTGAGTTACTGTACTTGGATTTGTCTCCTGCGTGTCCTTGAGGCGTCCTGCTTTCAGCTTTGGACTGGACGTGGTAACTGGAACACTAGAGTTTTACTCTGACAATACTCATACTAAAAATGTCTGAGACTTGAGTGCTATACTGCATAACGCTAAGTAAATTATTTTGAGGAACTGTTCTGGAGGCACATCTCTGCTGTCACTTATGACCGGACATGGAAAAAGATGCATTTTCTTTGTGCCCTGCGGCACAAAAGGGAGTCTACCTCAAGTGTACGTATGCTAGTACAGAAGTGCTGAGATGACAGCATTAAGGGCAAAGCTCTCCTACCTTTTCTGGGAAAACAGCACAACTTGAGTGCCTCTGAAGTGCCTGGATACTAATGCACACAGCAGAGGAAGCAAAGGAGGAGTCAGAAGTTTGCATGCGGTTGCAGGTCTGCAGTCCCACTGGGGTCAGAGATGTGGTGAGGTGGCTCACACAACTGGAGTGCTGCCATGGCTAGGTGTGGGCTCTAAGCGACAGGCTGGGATGGCCAACAGAGTTCACCTTGTTGTGAGAGAGCAGTGGGAATGCATGGAGTTTTGCCTTGGGATGGGTAAGCCAGCTGAGTGCTTATGGGTTAGGATCAGAGGACAGGTTAGCAAGGGTGATACTGTCTGCTACAGGTTGCCTGATCAGGAGGAAGTAGCAGATGATCCCTGAAGACACCTGTAAGTATGTTCAGTCTCTGGCCTTCATATGAGGCTTGAGCCACCCAGATACCTGCTGGAAAAGCAACAGAGTTGAGCACAAGCAATCCAGGAGGCTTCTGGAGTGCACTGGTGACAACTTCCTGACACAGGCGGTTGAGGAGCTGAAATAGGGAGATGCTGTCTTGGACCTGGTGCTGAAAACAAGGAAGAAGTGATGAAGGGCTTTCTTGGCTGCAGTGAGCATGAGATGGTGAAAGTTCAGAATCCAAAGAGGAGAGAACAGGACAAATAGTAGGATCACAACCCTGGACTCAGGAAAACAGATTTTGTCCTGTTCAGGGGCCTGCTTTGAAGAGTTCTAGCATGTAGAAACCAATTCTGTGCTGACAAAGGTGTGATTTTATTTTTTTATTATTTAATTTCTTTCACTGGATGAAGTGATACTGAAGTCTTGCTGAGTCTTGCCATAAATATTGTTAGTTTTTAGTGAATCCTTTTATGTAAGTAATAACTTCCAACTTATTTCTTTTCTGCGTGTTAGCTTTGTGTAAGACTGCTTTTGCTTTGTGTAGTACTACTTATATATTAAAGAATCTTAAATCTGAATGTTAGAAATTCTAGCTAACTAAAAATGAAAATGGTGTTCAACTGACAGAGTTAATGAGATTACCATTCCTCTTTGCATGGCAAATGTGGTTCTTAATTTTTATTAGGAAGGTTTAATACTATGAAATGCTTTACTTGATATCTCTGTTTTGGAATACATGTTTCTTTTTTTTTAATGTCGATTTTGTGAAAAGGTAGAAAATTTTCAGTGGACCTTTACAAAATTTTGCCTTGTATAGGAGAAGAAAGGATTGTTAGGGAAATTGAGGCTGGTTTTATGACTTTAAGGTACACCCCAGTGCCTTGAACTTGTGGAAAATATTTAGGGTTGAATCCAGATATGTCAGAAATCTTAAATTACAGAAGTGTTCATGGAGAGCAAGAGTATCAGACCTGGAAAAAAGCATAGATGTTATCAAAGGAAACCGGAGGTCTAGCTATTGTTGCATGTTGTATTTTAAATTCCTACTATTTGAAAAATAAAATGAATAAGGGAAGACACAATTTTGAAATGGCAAAACTCTGATTGTTCTGTGCTTTTTGTATGCCCCTGTATAGTTGTACAATGTTTAATGCTGTTCTTCTGAAAGAAGCCCTCTCTGAACAGTGTAAGTTGTAATGGTGACAGCTAGCTGGAATACCTCTTGGAGATGAACCACTGCTAAATGTACAGTGAATAATCGAAACTTCATGTCTTCTGTTCTTATCCTATGGTTTCTGTCTACACATTGTCCTCTTACTTTTGATCCTACTTTAGTTCCTGTGCCTAATCATACTCCTTTTGGATCAGTTTCTTCTAAGGCAGTAATGGGCTCCATGCTTCCATGTGCTTGCACAAAATTAGGTTAATTGCTCATACAAACTGCTGCTTTCTAGGATGGACACTTGGTTGTTTCTCTTCAATGTTCAGAGTGAAAGCTGAATTTACTTAATATTGATAAACTTTCTCAATTAAGTTGTCAGAGAAACACTTAGTTTTATGTGCCAGCTTGTACTGATTTCTGGTAGGTTTTAAGGGATGTTCCTTCAGCCTGAAGGAGGAAAGATGTTTGCCCTTACTGATTTCTTTAGAGGGCTTCCTGTGTAGGAAATCCTGAGGGTGAAAGTAAGTACAGTAGATATGAGACCCTTTGAAATGAATTAGTGTATGAAGAAATCAATGTAGTACTCGAATGATCAGTTTTCCAAAGGACATTTAAACAGGAATGGTTGGGGTTTCAATAGTTCAGCATAATTTGTCTTCTTCCACTCTGGCTATCTGAGTATATTAGATACTATCATCTGGCTTTTAGACCAGAATTAAACTATACAAGTTAAAACAAACTGCACAGTTAAAAGGTTTAATTTCAGAGATGAAGTTTTTATTTTCCATATGTCTTCAAAAAGAGCACAAGCTATTAATTTTTTCTAAATGAAAGCATATTTAGAAATGTTCATGTTGTACCGCTTACAGCTTACTCTGTGTGTACTACTCAAAAACAATCTTACTCCTTTTGAATATTTTAAGAGGTTTGTCAAACCCTTTTTTATAAAATTAATAATTTATTGGGAGATGTGTTTGTTTCAGGAACTATCATTGTGTATGAAAGAACATTGCTGGTAGACTAGTGTACTAATTTTCCATATTTACAATGCAGAGTAATAAGACAATTGATGGCCAGCCAAGGAATGTAACATTTATATCTAAAGACTGTGATGCAGATGCACCTGAAGGTAAGATAAATTAATTTCTTGTGTTTCCTATGTGATTTGTGCATGCTTAGCTTAATAAGCAGCTCAATCTCTTCACGCCTTTGATTTGCTTTAGTATGAAGCTTTGATGTATAGCTGTGTCCAGAAAACAGCTTGCTTAGAACTTATTTAATTCACTTGAAATTACTGTTTTTAGTAGAAACCACATGTATCAATGCATTCCAGTTAACTTTAAAATCTCCCATTTAATTTAATGTCTATGTAGGAGACCTTAAAAATAAACCCCAACTGGTGAATAGTTCAGCATCTGAGGTGTCACTTCAGTGTATATGTTTATCATACAAACATGCAGAGGAGTATTCTATTAAATTTCACAATGTACTCAGGAAAGCTAAGATCTGAACTTCTCAGTGCAAGTTCACAGATAAGAGAATTCTTCAGTTTTTATTAAGATGTAAATATGGACTCTTCCATGAGCAAGAATACCTGTAGAACTAGACATCTTAGGCAATTTTCCTGTAATCCTCTTACTGTTAATTTATAATTCCCTATAGCATCCAGTATAACTCTTCCTCATCTGTGCTATTAACAATCCCTTTTTGACTAGTTATTTGGGCAGAAGATGTATTGTGGATATTCTGGAGGTGCAAGTAGTGACTAGCAAGCAGATGGATCATTGTGGAGCTTTCCTTGACTTTCCATCTATGCAGGCCTTAATGTTGAATTTTTTTGAGGGAATGGTAACGTTTTATTTAGTCTTTATTACTCTATGAAACTTGGCTAAAGCTGGAAATGGGTTTTAGCCAGGCTTCATTTAAAAAAAACAAGTTAATTGAAATAATACTGGATTTGTTTTTTTAAAACGTTACCTTGCCCCTTCCTTTCCCTCTGCATATAAACAATTTTTGCGCAGTTTGAATTGCACTAGCCGTTGCAATACTGATACTACTGTTTAAGGTCACCATCAATTTTATTGATTGCTTTGGTCTGTTTAAAAAATTGGTCTCAGCAAAAGATTTATGGCCTTCAGAATGGTCCAGATTTTTTTCAGGCTGAAGCTCTTAATTGTTCTCACTCTGGCAAACTTTCAGCTTCTCTGTATAAAAAGGAGTTGAATTATGTATGCATCTATATACTTATAAAAAGGCTTGACAGTGTTTGTTAATTGACAGAAAAGATAAATAGTTGGTCCTGTATTTTTATCTTATTATCAGTATTCCGGAACTACTGACTATGCCTCTAGAAGATCTTCGCAGCTCCTCAGGTTTTCTTCCTACTTATGTTATTGGGAAACACAATAATTAATTTTAAACAACTCTTGTACTAGTGGAGATAACTGGACCAGTAGTTCTTTGTTCACTATCAGGCTGTGGTCCCTTGTGCGAGGTGGTTCCCTTGTACTTAAACTCATCTTTAAATTTGATATGTAGGTGTTTATCTTATTCCTGGTGGTTCATATCATTTCCCAAAGAGGATGGATTTTTCTCCTGTCTCCCCCGTACTTCAAATAAATCTTTCATCCACCTTTATTTTCAATGGCTATTTATAGACTTAATGCAATTTTAAGTGTTTTGATATTTTGACAAATGTAATTCTTAATTCATATTAAGGTGCCGTATTTTTGTGACTAAAAATAAACTCTTCTGTGGCAGAGTTTAGAAGAGCAAAATCTATTCTCTTTCAAAATGAGATCACTTTGAGCAGGTTTACCCAGAGAAGCTGTGGATGCCTCATCCCTGGAAGCGTTCAAGGCCAGGTTGGATGGGGCTTTGAGCAACCTGGTCTGGTGGAAGGAGTCCTTGCCCGTGGCAGGGGGGTTGGACCTGGATGGTCTTTAAGGTCCCTTCCAACCAAACAGTTCTATGATCGTGTTCTTGTAACCAGCTTCTTGGCTCAGCTAGTATTTGCTAGGAGAAGTATATACCTCAATGGCATTGATAAGGTTGTTAGTCTTAACTTTTCTGGGAGAAATTCAAATAGTCTGACTTCCTCAGACTTTGTTGCTTTTAATTGTAGGAACTGGGGTTGGACTGAAATAAACTTCCTAAATTCCACCTGTGCTTGAATATATTTTTGAGGGCTTTGAATACTTTGTGTGATTTTTTTTTTTTTCTCCTAATTTGCTTTGATCAATGGAAGCGATATAACTGATGCTTAGAACTGGTGTTCTGATGTGCTGAATGCAAGAGTTGACCTGTGTAAATGATGGCCTTGGTTTGCCATCATTAACATGTGTTGTTGCACTGGGTACCTTTGAGTTGTGTTCTCCTTCCTCAATAGGAAAGAGGAGGAGAAGGTATTGATATGCTGTCCTGTGCTAGTCTACTGTAAGTAGAAGATGGATGGATATTGCTTAAATGTGAATGTTCATGTGATCAAAAGGCTATAGTGGAGTTCTGTTAACTACAGATACAGTCAGGCTATTGAAGTGTTTTTATAAATGAAAGAAAAGTTTCTTCTGTAATGCTTGAGTTGAACAAAAAAAAGTTGCGTTAGTGAAAATGCTTTATTCACAGTTTCATCCAGTCAGTTTTAGAAAGTGGAAAGGTAATGCTTGCCTTGGAACACCTGCCATTTTTATTACCTGATAATGAAAACTGGTGAAAATAACTGTTGTAGATGTTACTCTTATGCTCTGTGATCAGATAGAATATGTTGACAAGTGGAACTTATTTTGAAGGTAGGAACTAGATTTTTAAATATAATTTCCCTTGCTTTTTAAGGCTACTAGATGCAAAGCAAAAATAGATACAACTGACTTCAAGTGAAGATAATGGTTGGCCAGGCACTTGTACTTTTTATTGACTTCTCTGGTACTAGGATTTTATCTTATGTAAACCACTGAACTGGAACTAAATGCAAATATTGATTTGTCTTCTCAGCCCTTACTTTATTTTGGCTTATTTAAACTGAATTAATTCTAACAGGTGTTTTTCCTTAAACATAAAACAAGCCATGATGTTTTAATGGCCCTGCTGATAGATAAGTGTATAGCAATCTGCTCTGTCTTACTGAGTACTCAGATGTTGTGGATATGATCTCTACTTACTGTAACTAAGTATATTTTTTCTTTCCGAGATGGTAGAAGACGTGATTTGATCTTGTATCAACTAATACTCTCAAACTTCAATATTGTTAAAACTTCAGACTTTAATGGGCAATGTTTTCTACGAATGTGTTTCAAACCAGTTTGTCTTGCGGTGAAAAGGACAATTGCACTTTCTGGAGAAACATAAGGCACTTAAAGTACAATCTTACAAAATCCACACTCTAAGTATTTTCTGTCAAATATATAATTTGTGGGATTCTAGTACTATATTGTCTGCTCTCATGCAGCAACACTTGTCTCTGTTTACTCCTGGTATGCAGGAGGTGAATCTGCTTTACACTGAATGCCAGAGGCCATAATAGCATAACTACATGAAACAGAACAGAAGCCAAAAAGTAATAGAGCAGGCTACATCTTATAACTCAGTAATGTGCCTATTCTTAGTTACATTTAAACATCTTGTACAAAAGGCTTACGTTCTGGTTAACGTAGATTTCTTAAAAGCTTTTTAAGTAGTCTTTTTGAACAGCAAATTTAATGTATTTGTTATAGGCAAAACAGGCATTAGTTTTCGATACAGTTGGGCAAAGACCTCATTTGATCACTGTTTTCAAGGACTAATGCCAGCTGAACTATTGGGTCGACAGTTCAGTTGAGCATAACATCAAGCAAAGGAGTTAAATTGTGTGATTAAGACTCTTGCAGCTGGACTAATGCACTGAAGACTTGGTGTAGGTTTTGAAAACTTGGTATAGGTTTAGCTAACCACGTTAATGAGGTGTATTGTAAATGAGCAATGACTCAGCTGCAAGCCTTTTCCCAACCTTATTTATGAGGTCTGATAAACACTATCTGCCTCTTTCTAGACCAGAAAACCATGGAAGTTGTTTTTAAGCATCATTCACTTTAAATACATAACATGCTATGAATCCCTCTTGGATTCTCTCATTTCCTTAATTGGGGAAATGAGCTTTACCCAAGGCCTGCTAAATGCTGGGTACAGTTTGTCTGCTGGGCCTTTTACATAGACCTGCACTGACTCCAACTGCATATAAAGTGAGAAAGAAAAAAAGTTATCTACATTTCTAAGGCTTTTAACTGAGCAGGACTTAGTGTGCTAATTAGATCTGTGGCTTCTTATAGGACTCTTTTGTCAACTAGAAGTCACCAAGTGCAAGACCTCAGATTTTATTTTAGCCTGAATAAAGACTAGATGTAGATATTACTGAAGCTCGAAAGGAACCACAAATATGAATGCCAAAAAAAGGAACGTATTCTTTGTTTCTTCTTCAGAGAAATTCAGGAGGCATGCAAAGTGAAAGTACAAGCAAGTTGCTTAGAACCTTCAATATTAGTAATTTTGTGTTAGGTATCTTATGACCATAGATTACCATTTCCAAATGGTTGCTTTAAATGAATTAATTTGCAAAGCTATAAAATGCTTCACAAAAGGCATAAATGAGGATTTTAGTGAGGACTTCATCCATTTTCCTGTCACTTTACTGAATGACCTTACTAGTACTTTACCCTGAATCTCTACTTACACCTAACACTGTTGAAGTCCTCTATAATCATGAGAACAATACAAGTAAGCACTAATGGTGCATGTTTGACTACAGAAAGCCTCTTTGGCAGCTATAAATAGTATGAGTAGCTCAGAGTGACATAAATCTTTTTCTGTGTTACAGTGCTCATTTATGTGCAGTTGTAGAAACATGAATTCCTACACTTTTTTCTGCACCCTATCACAGTGGACAGATATGAACAGCTCTGAACTACCCTCTTCTCCCTCCAAGAGATCATAACTGGAGAGAGAAGAAGCTGCATTTACTAGGTACTCTGAAATGTTAAATGGAGTTTAGCAGTAAAGCAATTGCTTTAAAGCAATTTTCTTCTTGGATCAACATCCTAGTTCTATTGCCTGTTGGATTTAAGCCCAACAGTAAAGCGAGATGCTCTGATATTACCAAAT